CCCAAATACCATTCGTCTCCATTCACTCCTATCTAACACGCTCATGCATGCTTGCTGGAAGTCCAAGCCCTCGACCACAAAACCTCCTTTAGCCCCTCTTTCCAACCTTTTCAAGGATAACCCCTACCCCGCCTTCCTTCCCCTACAGATTTATACGCTCTCCATGTCATTCTACTTTGGTCCATTCTCTCTAAATGACAAAACCACCTCAACAACCCCTCTTCAGCCCTCTGACTAATACTTTTATTAACTCCACACCTTCTCCTAATTTCCACACTCCGAATTCTCTTCATAATATTTACACCACACATTGCCCTTGGACAGGACATCTCTACTGCCTCCGCCTCCTCACTGCAGCATTTACAACCCAATCTTCACACTCGTATGAGAGTGCTGGTACTACTATACTTTCATACATTCCCTTCTTTGCCTCCATAGATAATGTTTTTTGTCTCCACATATACCTCAATGCACCACTCACCTTTTTTAATTCATGAATTCTATAGTTAACCTCATCCTTCATAAATCCATCCACTTACACGTCAACTCCCAAATATCTGAAAACATTCACTTCTTCCATACTCCATCTCTCCAATTTGATATCCAATTTTTCTTTATTTTGATACCCTCATCACCTTACTCTTTTCTATATTCACTTTCAACTTTCTACCTTTACACATACTCCCAAACTCTTCCACTAACCTTTGCAACTTTTCTTTAGAATCTCCCATAAGCACAGTATCATCAGCAAAAAGTAACTGTGTCAATTCCCATTTTGTATTTGAGTCCCCATAATTTAATCCCACCCCTCTCCCCAACACCCTAACATTTACTTCTTTTACAATCCCATCTAAAAATATATTAAACAACCATGGTGACATTACACATCCCTGTCTAAGACCTACTTTTACCGGGAAGTAGTCTTCCTCTCTTCTACACACCCTAACCTGAGCCTCACTATCCACATGAAAACTCCTTACAGCCTTTAGTAACTTACAGCCTATTCCATATACAGGTCTCCTTCAACATTCACGTTTTCAACTTTCACGGGCTTCACACATTCGCGAATTCCCAACCGCCAAATTCCCAGCCACCAAATTCCCAGCCGCCAAATCATATTTAAGTTTCCCGCCACCTGTGAGTCCCTACTACCCTCCCTCCGACCCCCGCAACTGGCAGCCAGCCCTCCCACCACTCAGTGTGGTGAGTGTTTTGTTTGTTCGTTATCTGCTATTAAACTACAGTATAAATAATGTAAACCCATTCATGACTGCATATTGGAATGGCTATTCGGACAGGTATTAGACGGTGCTTTTAACCCTTTCAGGGTCCGTCCCGTAGATCTACGGCTTCACGTTGAGTGTCCAAACCATAGATCTACGCCAAAATTCTAGCGCCGTCAAATTTAGCGCGAAAGCGCTCATAGGCCTACATGTGAGAGAACGGGTCTGCGTGGTGGGTGTGCGCCATAAACAAAAAATCTAGGCGCCCGCATAGCATTGTGGGAACACCGGCTCAGTTACCCTTGTTCACCATGCCTCGTCGCAAGTCAGCTCTCACTCCACGGAAAATTGGGATTCTCCTCCTCCTATCTGATAGTTCTGACACTGATGGAAGTGGAAATGAAGACGAATTCTTTGGTTCTGATCAGTTAGTGACCGAAAGGAATGACCAGGATATCGATAATAGTGCAGAAAACCCTGACGATCCTCAACCTTCTACCTCTGGTGTGGGCACTCCTCAGTTACAGTCAGTTGTACCTCAACGCAAGAGAAAACTATTATTTTCGCGTGGCCAGGCCTCTGACTTCAGTTATGATGATGATAGTGACGTGGATTGTGATTTTATTGCTCTTGACGATCATTCGAGTAGTGATAGTGAGGAATCATATTCACCAGTGAAGCGTCGGTATGTATGCCGCCGCATGCACTCGGGTAGTGTACCCTATGCTGTGCCCAGGGGATGGAGTACATCCCAGAGTACATCCCGGAGTACATCCCGTGGCCCTACACCAGGTTTAGATAGTGATAGTGAGGATGATGTGGCTACACTTGGCATGGATAGACCACAGGCATCAGCAGATGGTGGTAGTGGTGATGGTAGTGGCACCACCATGCGTGACTCACCAGCCCAGGCTGGGGCCCACACTGCTGACTCCTCAGTTCAAGGACAAAGCGGAGCGTCAGCCACCAGCCCACCACAACCACAACCACCTGCACAGCCAGCCTATGATGTCCAGTATCCACCAGCAAACCGTATCTGGGATTGGCAGCAAAATCCCAATTTTGTTCCCAAGCCCCACCATTTTGATGATTCTCAAAGTGGAATTCTACCTACTTGTCCCCTTGGAAACCACAGCCATTGAACTGGAATTCTTTGAATTATTCTTTGACCAGCCATTGATGGAAACTATTGTCAGGGAAAGTAATAAGTATTTTGAGTACACCATGGTAAATACGATCATATCACCACAGTCAAGACTACACCGGTGGAAAGAGACAACTGTTGCAGAAATGTATTTGCTTTTTGCAACAATAATGCTTATGCCTCATGTCTATAAGCATAATATAAAAGCATACTGGTCCACAGATCGGCTAATTTCTACCCCGGTCTTCAGTGAAATCATCCCAGCGAACAGGTTTATCTTACTGTTACGTATGTTGTACTTCTCTGACAAAACCAGGCCTGACAGAAGTGATAGGTTATACAAGATTAGAAATGTTTTTATGTATCTCAAACAAAAGTTCAGCATATACTTTTATCCATTCAAGAAAATTGTAATTGACGAGTCTTTGATTTTGTTCAAAGGTAGGCTGTCATTCAAGCCGTATATACCGAGCAAGAGGAAACATTTTGGTATAAAACTGTTTGTACTCTGTGATTGTGACAGTGGCCTGGTGTTGGATATTGTTGTATACACGGGAAGTAAAACATTGAAAGATACCAAGATGTTATTGGGTATCTCAGGTGACGTAGTGAGAAACATGATGGCACCTTATCTTGGTAAGGGGCATACATTATATACCGATAACTGGTACACAAGCCCATTACTCAGTGATTTCTTGCGAGTGAACAAGACAGATGTGTGTGGCACAGTGCATTCTAATCGTAAACATATGCCCAGGCTCAACGCAGGTGCTCGTGGTGATGACGTGCAGGTGTTTACTGCCAATGACATCATGGCATTATGGTGGCATGACAAACGAGATGTCACATTGTTAACAACCATTCACCGTAATGAAATGCAAGACAGTGGCAAAGTTGATCGAGTGATTAATGAATGTATTCGAAAACCAGTGACAGTGATTGATTATACACAAAACATGCGCTTGGTTGACAAATGTGAAATGCAGATTGGTTTTGTTGCTTGTGTTCGTAAGAGTTACAAGTGGTACAGGAAACTTTTCTTCCATCTCATGGACATTTCAATGCTCAATGCATATAATATGTACCAAATAAAGACTGGCAACAGACCACCGTATGGTGAATTTTGTTTGTCTGTTGTCAGACAACTCATAATGATGTACCAGGTAAGAACACCTTCTATACAACAAGGTCCTCGAATTCCTCAGGATATACCCAAGCATTTGAGGAGGGAAGGTGATCATTTCATAATACAGCTTCCTTCAACTCAGAAGAAATTTGCTCAGAAGAGATGCATCGTCTGTGCACAAACAAAACGACGGCAACAAAGACGCAAAGACACTCGGTTTGTGCGAGGAATGTAAGGTGCCTTGTTTCAAGGAGTTCCACAAGCTCCAGCAGTTCTAAAACCATGTCCAGTGATTGTAAATATGTAAATATATGATAGTGCATTAGTATTATACAAGATTTGTGCATGTTTATTGTAATAAACAACAGTGGTAAACAATAATATGATAATAACTTTAGTGCGGTTATTGTGTTCAATACAGTGAGTTTATATTTATACATTATATACAGTATTGGTCTCTCAGGCCCCAAATGTTAGTAGGAAAAGAAAAAAAGTGGAAAAGAAAAGAAAAAAACTACAGAAACTGCTAAATAAAGTAAAGCGCGTATGTGGAATTCGTCGATGTTGCCGCCACCACATCATTTTGGACAAACTTCTTGGCACTGTATCTCGGTAAGTACTGATCAGAAAAATTTTTTTTGTCTTATTACCTTCACAAAAATATGCTCTTTAATTCTGCAAGAAAAAACAATTTTTTTTTTTTTTTTCAAAATTTCTTGGACACTGGAGCACCACTTCAGATTTTGGCCTTGGACCCTGAAGGGGTTAACATTTCTGTCATGATCCCGTCAGTTCCAGCTGGTTTACCCCCTTTCATTCTATGTAATGCCTCACGTACCTCCCCCACACTCACATCCTGCTTTTCTTCACTCCTAAAAGATGGTATACCTCCCTGGCCAGTTCATGAAATTACCACCTCCCTTTCTTCATCGACATTTAACCCTTAAACTGTCCAAACGTAGATCTATGTCCATGTGCAGGGGGCTCCAAACGTAGGTCTACGTTGTTTTACATGCTTTCAAATGGGGAAAATCAAGGTCGGAGCACTATGCACGTGAACGTAGATCTACGTTTGGACAGTTTAAGGGTATAAAGTTCCTCAAAATATTCCTGCCATCTACCCAATACCTCCATCTCCATCTACTAAGTCCCCTACTCTGTTTTTAACTGACAAATCCATTTGCTCCCTAGGCTTTCTTAACTTGTTTATCTCGCTCCAAAATTTTTTCTTGTTTTCATCAAAATTTCTTGACAGTGCATCTCCCACTCTATCTGCTCTCCTTTTACACACTCTCACCACTCTCCACCTTTCTTTTACTCTCCATATACTCAGCTCTTCTTATAACACTTCTGCTTTGTAAAAACCTCTCATAAGTTACCTTCTCTTTTATCACACCCTTTACTTCATCATTTCACCAATCACTCCTCTTTCCTCCTGCACCACCCTCCTATAGCCAGAAATTTCTGCCCCATATTCTAATAAAACAAGGGTGCTTTAGCAACTCACTGAAGCTGTCAGGTCCATGAACCGAAGAAACTTTTTCAACACATTTACCATCAAGCTAAAGTTAGCCTCGGGAAGCATGGCACGGATCTGTGCTTCACATTCCTGAAACAAACAAATTAAATAGGAAATGTTAGTCTATAAATAAAATTTTGGAGCAAGCAATAAGCTATACATAAGCTCAAGGCATCTGAAAGCAAATTGCCCCACAAAGCTAATGTCCAATATAGAACTAAAAAGCACAATACCATGACTGGACCAATGCACAAATAATCCCACATAGGAGAGAAGAGCTTATGATGATGTTTCAGTCAAACTTGGATCATTTACAAAGTCACACTAACAGAAAAAAAGGAGCTAGTATACATAGACCAGCTGGCAGGGATGAGACAAGAGACGTGGTGGTGGTGGGTGGTGGTGGTGGTATTTGTAGTTGTTGTTATTGTTGTTGTTGCTGCTGCTGTTGCTATTGTTGTTGCTGCTGCTGTTGTTGCTGCTATTGTTGTTGTGACAAGAATATTTAAGAATATAAAAGGGGAGTGAAAGGAGGCAAAAGTAAATGTAGGCGCTAAAGGTACCTCTTCTTTCCTATTTTTCATTTTTCTTGTTTTTTATTTTCTTTCTTCTGCCTTGGGTATTTTGTCCTACCCCCCCCCCCCTGTGTTTTTGGTTTTACCCCTTATGGGCCCTTAGCTCTCCTGCAGTGCTCCTCTTTCTTGGCCTTTGTCTCCACCACTACCACTACTACTAGCCTTACCCCTACCACTACTTGCCTTACCTCTACCACTAGTACTCTTCCTTTCTCTCTTATCCTGTCCCTGCCAGCGGGCCAATATATACTGGCTCCTCCTCTCTTTTCTGTTAGTGAGACTTTGTAAATGATCCTAGTTGGATCAAAATGTTGTTGTAAGCTCCTCTGTCCTATGTGCAGGTTATTTGTGCACTAATGCCCAATTGTTATAGTGTAATTTGTAACCATAACTTTCTTCAAGACTAATTTACAATGCTAATACCATTTTTTGACAGCCTGTGTGTTAATAACACTCCTGGTAAATCCCTCCATTTACAAGTAATAGGGACTTCCCTATTTTATTTTTTTAATGAACTAGCCACAGATGTTTGACAGCCATGGATGGCTCACCACAATCCCCAGTCCCTCTGGGAGGTTCTGGATTGGTGGAGATCCACCTCTCCCAACCAGTTGTGCATGTTCCACACAGCAACATAACGTTCCAGTGACTTAATAATTAATATGCACTTTTATTGCATGAACTTATGCCCCAGCTAGACACTGCCTGAGGATAATGAAGGAGCCTGGGGAGGAGAAAAATCTCCCTATGATGACAATTACAGGGAAAGGTATCTACAGCCTTGTCTCCCTAATATCATTAGGGGGGAGGGGGGGTAAGAGAGACTGAGTTTTAAGAGCTTGAGCATCCAGCATGTGATGCAAATGTGTTAGAAGTGAATGAAGAAACTGGTTATTAATGGACATGGTGTTGGAACATAGGCAAGGTAATTTTTTATGAGAGATTCAGGGAAAACCAAGCAGCCGGACTTCGAGCCCTGGAGACATGAAGGGTAGTGTCTGTAGTATGAAAGGTGGGAATATTGTCATTGGAGGGTAATCTTATTGTGATGTGGGCACACTTCTGGGAAGATGGCGATCAAGTGAATGTGGTGAAAGTATTTTTTCTTTTTCTTTGGGTCACTCTGCCTAGACAGATTTCAAAAACAAAATCAAAATAAAGTCACAGCATACACTACTGCAACAATACAGATAGCACTGGTACATGCCTCATCTTCCATTATGCAGTATCCAGTTAGCAGGGCAGTGTAAGCAGCTATAAGTGTATCTTCCATGTGATGACCAGCTTTTTGTAGCACTGAAAAAAGTTAAAAATAAATAAGGATCTGATATGTATATTTCTTCAGCAGAGTTAAAATATGGGTAATTGCTCAGTCACAATATGGTGGTGCAAATAATTCCATGGAGTGGACCCCCAGTTTTTGTCCTTAATCCATTCCAGGTCAGCTGAAATCCGAAATGGACAAAAACCGAAGAAATATTTCCCATAAGAAATAATGTAAATCCAGACACCCAAAAAATAGATTTTATAGAGAATAACTATAGTGTTGCAGCTCTTCAGTGGTTAGCTCTTCCCTGTGGTTGTCCACCAACTCTTCCACATCCTGGCCACTCACATCCAACTCCATGGACTTCCCCAAAGCCACAACAGATTCCACAACAGCCGTAGGGTTGTCAAGTTTACACTAACTTATAGGCATTAAAAAGCACAATAAAAAGTAAAATACATACACAGTACATTCATTACTTACCTTAAAATATTTGTAGTCATAATGTAAGGCAAGAGGCAAGTAGTACTTATTTGTAGGAAGTCAGGTATAGGTAGCCGGTAGATGTAGGTACTATGTAGTCCGCCTGGGCTACATACCTACACCTACGTACCTATTTAATGCGGCCCAGAGCCATATTACAGTGGACCCTCGGTTATCAGCCGTAATCCATTCCAGAAGGTTGGCCGATAACCAAAATGGCCGAAAATTGAATTAATATTTCCCATAAGAATTAATGGAAATACAATTAATCCGTTCCAGACAAAAAAAAAAATGTTTCTTATATAAATTTTGAAGAAAATATCATAGATGGATTAATGAAAATGTCTATATTAACATAAAATAAGACATTTAATGTGCCAAAGAGTGATTATTAAATATACATCGCATATAATAAACATTGCATGTTTATATGCTATGTAACATGCTTCTTATATAATTTTGAAGAAGATATAATAGATGGATTAATGATAATGTCTATATTAACGTAAAATAAGATATTTAATGTACCAGTGATTATTATTAACCCTTTCAGGGTCCGTCCCGTAGATCTACGGCTTTATGTTCAGGGTCCAAACCGTAGATCTACGCCATGAGCTCAGCTCACTCTGATAAACCGAGAGTGGTAAATTTGGGCCTAGATATGAGAGAATACATCTATGTGGTATGTGTGCACCACATAAAACAAATCCTGCAGCACACTGTGTATAATGAAAGAAAAAAACCGAGACCGTGATTTTCGATTAAAACCGAATTTGCAGTGTTTTTTTTTGTGTTTTTTATTGTTGTATTTGCAATTTCTTGGTCTCATTTGATAGAATGGAAGACATATTACAGAAATAGAGATGATTTTGATTGGTTTTAGCACTGGAAATGGCTTGAAACTGAGCTCAAGGTAGCAGAAATGTTAAATTTTTGCCGATGTTCAAGAGTAAGCAAACGACCTCACACGTCTAATACACACCAGCTGGTGGGTCTAATATACATTCACAAATGTGGTGACGATATTTATACAATTATTACAATATTGCATAAGAGTAAATCTTCTATTTTTTGGTGTGAATAAAAAATCAAAATGGAATTTATTTGTTAAGCCTCAAAACATAACTAATAAACAGAGAAAATGTTAGTTTAGTACCTACATAGTTTATTCTGGATCCTATTTTGAAATTGGAATATTTTGAACTGTGTGTTAAATTGGCCAAATTACCAATTTCCGATCGCTTTATTTTGTAGTTGAAACAGTTGACTTGGCGATTTCTTGTGCTCAATCGGTAGAATAGAAGTAATACTAGTGAAATAGCTAAGAATTTGGTCGACTGGAATAATGTAATTGGCCTAAAATGGGAGTCAAAGTCGGCAAAATTGTCGATTCGTAAATATCGCTGACACATCAAAATTCGCGAGAGCATAATTTTGTCAATTTCCCATCAAATTTAGTACTTTTTGTTTTATTACCTTCACAAAAAGATTCTCTACCATTGCAAAATAAAAAATAATTTTTTTTTTTTTTTGAAAATTCTTGGACACTGGGGCACCACTTCAGATTCTGGCCTTGGACCCTGAAAGGGTTAAATATACATTGCATATAAAAATTGAATGTTTTCATAGACTATATAACGTGTTTCTTTGGGCCCATGGTTGCTTATTTTGCAGTTGTACTCGATCAATAACCACAAAAAACAATGGATTATAGCAAAATGTTTGGATGAATGAACAGAAGCTTCCTCACTCGCCCAGAGACAAAACCAAACTGACTCGCAAGCGGCCCCAGCCGCCGGATAAGTGCCTCCCAAATGGCCGAATTAACGGCCAATAACCGGGCGCCAAAAAACCAGCCGATAACCGAGTTGGCTGATAACTAAACCAGCCAATAACCGGGGGTCCACTGTACAGGGGTCCATCAACATACCATGTTCAGTGAGTTTAATCATTTCTAACCTTTAGATGCCATCATAAACAAAGGGAGAAGTAATGAATAATTCATACTGAGAATTGTAAACAAAAGCGTTATGTATTAAGGGTGGTGACTGGGCCAACGCAGATTCATACACGTTTTCTCTGATGCTGGACCAGAGAAAACGTAATGTTTTTCCACTGCCTGGCTACCACACCTCCATAGCATATAAACATTGCAGGTTTATATGCCAAAAGAACGAAATTTGATGGAAAACTGACGGAATTACACTCGCAAAGTTAGCGACCTCGGCAATATTTACAAATCGGTGATTTCGCCCACTTTGAGCCCTATTTTCGGCTAATTCCATTGTTCCAGTCGACCAAGCTCATAGCTATTTTTTAGAACTCCATTTTTTCTATCGACTGAGTACAAGAAACTACCCATTTACCGATTTCAACTACCCACTAACATGGTCAGAAATTTGCAATTTGGCTAATTTCACGAAAATTAAAAAATATGACAATTTCAAAATAGCGTCCAGAATGAAAATGCAGACATTCCTGGCTCTAAAATAACATTTTCTTTTTTTTATTCAAACAAAAAATAGAAGATTTACTGTTATGCAGACTACTGCAATATTGTAATAATTGTATAAATAATGTCAACCCATTCATGACTGCATATTAGAATGGCTACTTGGACATTTATTGGAAAATGATATAATTTGTTTACTTTTGAACATCGGCAAAAATCAAACATTTTCCCTACTTTGAGCTCCATATCAAGGTTCTTTTCTTAGTAAAACCAATCAAAATCACCTCTATTTCTATAATATGTTTTCCATTCTATCAAATGAGATCAAGAAAACGAGAATACAACCATAAATACTATACGAAAATAGACCACAAAGTCGGCATTTTAATTAAAAAAAAAAACGGTCAGAGTTTTTTCTCATTGTGCACTGCGTGCTGCAGGATTTTTTTTTATATGGTGCACACTGACCACACAGACCCATTCTCTCACATGTGGGCGTACCAGCTTTTTCCTGCTTGATTTGAAGTCGCTAGAATTTATGAGTATATATACATCAAAAATGGTGGCTCGTAAGACGTATATACACCTACCATCCGACTTACGACCGAGCTTGGTTCCGACCAACTGGTCGCAAGTCGAAATGGACGTAAGTCGACCTTTACTACTGAACATCAATATCACATTTTTGTAATGACTTTATTTTATTGTTTTATTTTGGTATTTCAATTTTTACTTTACTTTTTATGCTTTTAGTACTGTATTTTATACTGTAAGGTTTAGAATAAGCACTGTGTACAACACAAACAGTTGTTTATTTCCCAGAAATTTGGCATAAAAAACATGGTCGTAAGTCGAGAGGTCGTATGGCGAGCAGATCGTAAGTCGGATGGTTGGTGCATGACCAAAACAGTCAAAGGGTTAACACTCACATTTTAAGAGGAAAGTAAAATTAGGCTAGATAAATGAATGAGTGAGTGTGGGTGGGTGTGAGTTGGACCTGACTAGCTTGTGCTACTGGGTCAGATGTCGTGCTCCTTCTTTCAGTGGATGTGACCTGACTAAGTGGGTCATTGGTCTAAGCCGGGGGGTGACATGGACCTGTCTTGCATGGGCCAGTAGGCCTGCTGCAGTGTTCCTTCTTTATGTTCTTATGTATTCAGCTGGCTGGCTTTGGCTCTGTCTGTCTGTATGTCTATACCTCTGTCTGTCTATATCTATCTATATCTGTTTATCACTACCTGTATCTATGTCTATATCTCTCTCTCTCATATGTACTCATAAATACAATTATACATAATGTAAATTACCTAGGATAAACCAAAAATTCCAGGCCAAGTGCTATACAATGTTTGTAGATATAAGACATATATAAACATGACACAAATAATAGCAGTGTCACTTGCTCAGCAATTAGGGAGTGGCCCATACACCACAAACCAACAGGTTCACTAGCCGCTCCCTGAGATAGAGACAAGCAGATGGAAAGACAGACACACACAGGCAGATAGAAAGACAGGTAAGCAGAACTAGATAGATAAGCAGAGCTAGGCAGACAGACATAGGCAGATAGATGCACAGATAGATAGATGTACAGATAGACAGACAGACTGACAGACATACAGAGACATGTTTGTGTGCAAGAGTAAAAACATATAAAGACAAGGTTCCCCCCTCCAGCACCGCACATTCATCAAATGTCACTTTGTTATCTGACGTTGTCATAACACCATTATTCAAGTTCACATTATACTCCAGGCAGACACAGAAGACAGAAAGACAGATAAGCTGAACTGGACAGACAGATACACAGAGCTAGGCAGACAGACAGGCTGATAGATGTGCAGATAGACAGACAGACTGATAGACATACAAAGACATGTTTGTGTGCAAGAGTAAAAACATACAGAGGCAAGGTTCCCTCCAGCACGGCACATTCTGACCCTTGTCATAACACCATGCTTCAAGGAGTTTCATACTCTAGTATGTCTAAAACATTGCTGGGACCTATAAATACTTTGTATATATTTCTAGACAATAGTAAATGACCAAGGCGGGTGAAAATGTTCACCTGTCAGTGTGATTGTTACAATTTGA